TGGATCCTTTGATCGGGGCTATATCTGCTGGAAACACTGTGGTCGTAAAACCTTCGGAGCTGGCACCAGCATGCTCTTCTTTTCTTGCTCGTATAGTCCCCCTTTACTTAGACAACAAAGCCATTAAAGTTGTTGAAGGTGGAAGTGATGTAGCTGAGAAACTACTGGAGCAAAAATGGGACAAGATATTTTTCACAGGTATCGCTTAATTATTTCAACATTTAGGATCCTGATGAAAACAGAAGATTCATTTGAAACATTTTATCATTAAACCATAATCCTGCTTCATCCATTTGTAGCAAATTTCTCCCATTATTGCATATCACCATGTCTTGTGGATTATAATTAAATTCATATTATTTCCTTTTCACTTTGGCAAATACTATTACAGGCAGTGCCCGGGTAGGACGCATCATCATGTCTGCCGCTGCAAAACACTTGACACCTGTGACTCTAGAACTGGGTGGAAAATGCCCTATCATCCTGGACTCTCTATCTGGCTCAGACTTAAAGGTTCCATTTTAATGCTCTTGGACAACAGTATAAAGAATCTGCTTTATTTATTTTGAAGATTAAGAATCTGCTTTGTTAATATGTTAAACATGTTGTATTCAAGGTGGCTGTTAAGAGAATATCTGGTGGGAAGTGGGGAGCATGTGCTGGACAAGCTTGCATTGGAATTGATTATGTGCTTGTGCAACAAAAACTTGCTCCAGTTCTAGTACTCAACCATGACCTCTTTGTGAATTTCTTGTGGAATTATTAGATCTACCTAACTGAAACTCTATTTGTGTTATATTTTTTCAGGTTGAATTACTGAAAAAGTGTATCAAAACATTTTATGGGGAAAACGTAAAAAACCTGAATAGTATTTGTAGAATCGTAAACAAGAATCATTTTGAAAGGGTATGCAATCTTCTTGAGGACCCTGGTGTTGCAGCTTCAATTGTTTATGGTGGTTCATTCGACAAACAAAATCTGTAAGTTCTCTGCTTTTTTTCATCACCGTCTCTTTCGCAACTGTTTTGCACTGTTTGGGATGCCTAATATCATATAAACGTTTAAGGTTAATTGAGCCTACAATCTTATTGGATCCTCCACTTGACGCTGATATCATGACTGAGGAAATATTTGGCCCAGTGCTCCCCATCATTACGGTATAATTATAATTTCACTTTCAACCTTCCACTTTGTAGTGGAAAATGTGTACGGCAATAAGTGTGTTCTTTATGCAGCTAAATGAAGTGGAAGAAAGCATTGAGTTCATTAATGCGAGACCAAAACCACTTGCCATTTATGTTTTCACCAAAAATAAAACATTCAAGGAAAAAGTATTACAGGAAACATCATCTGGAAGTGTGATATTCAATGATACCATGATTCAAGTAAGCTATTTTCTTCTTGTCAAACGATTCTACTCTAAACAGAGGTAAAAAGGATGTATATTTTCTTGTGTTTTTAAAATTGCAGTTCATATGTGATGGGCTGCCATTCGGAGGCGTCGGTCAAAGTGGTTTTGGAAGGTACCATGGGAAGTATTCTTTTGATACTTTCAGTCACGAAAAAGCAATTCTGAAAAGAAGCTTCTTCCTGGAACTCGAACCAAGGTACCCTCCGTGGAATGGTTTTAAGCTCGAATTCATCAGGTTGGCTTACAACTTTGACTATATTAGATTGTTGCTACTTCTGTTGGGGTTGAGGAGAAGATACACATCAAGGATTGTTATATAAGGGATTTTTAAGGATTATTTGTCGTCAAGGACTGAAACAAATGGAACATTGAAACAACGTTGTCTGTGAACAAATGAAGGCTAAGGAAATAATTGGTCCAACTAGTAATGCAACATAGTTTCTTTGTAATCACTAGATTTGTCATGTATGAGCACAGCAAATCGTAGCAGCTTTATTTCTTCGACGGATCTTTGACATCTATGTTTAAGAGTGTTGGTCGTTTCTAATTTTTGTGTTAAAACATTAGCAAACCACCAGAAATGCAATCTTCTTTCATGGGACAATCCCTCTTCCAGTTCAAGTGAAAATCTCATCACCCTTTTTTGGACGAGGCGATTCATATATTATTTTTAGTTCAAGCTCATCGCCATGAGAAGTATGGTTCAATATATATCCTCCTATTTGTTCAATCAACTTGAAAATGATCACAAGATTTCTAGACTCTTAGGATTTATGTGTAGGAGATGGAGACATTTTGATAAGTTAGATTATATATGATTAGTAACAATAGTCTCTAAATAGAGTACACGTTTCTTTTCCTTAATCTTCGCATACCAAACAAGTATATAAATGCTTATAACGAGTGTTGAGCCCTCTCGCAGATGAAACTGTACACAAGATCACTTCTTATATATTTTTCTCTATCTTCTTTTCAATCACACATTCATCATTAAAGTAATATTACACGCAAATTCAAAATATTTTTTATTTTTTAATTATATATTATTCATCAATCTACTATTTTAAAATACATTTTTAGCCAAAAAATGGACTTAAATATGCTCTAAATATAACATGAGGTGTTGAAATGCCATTGGTCTGATTATCATTCATTAAACGACAGCCCACAACCATTGACTTTGCCCTTGCAAACTCGTCCGTTTGCAAGCTGCCTAACCTCCACATCACCACCATTATCCACCAATCGCCGTCGCCGTCAACAAAATATCCTAAACCAAGCCAATTTTGTCATGCCCATAAGAGAATGTGTCCCCCCGACGAATCAACATAGCTGAATATCAATTTAGATTCAATCATCAAAAGTCATTTTGGGTTTACCCACAATTAATAGCAATACAATGGCCGATAACAAGGGTATTCAAGAGCCCAATACTGAAAGCAAAGACAAAGTGGAGGAAAAGGGATTAGAAAAGTCGAAATCAAATATTCTGCCACCACCGGAGAACAGAGGCTGCCCTGAGGGTGCGCAAGTTGAGCAATCGCATAAGGTCTCATCGTTGTAAGGGCACCAGAAAAATTGATTAAGACGAAATAATTTGTATACAAGATAAAAAAAAATAAATAAATAAATTTTTTTTCTTTAATCTAAAACAATTTGTTTTTTATAAATTAAAATTAAGGAAATAAAATAAGCTAACTATATTCACACCATAATTAAGTACACCACGTTTTAATTACATGAATGTTCTTAACCTTTAGTCATGGTCACATTTATATCCATAACTTTTTTCATTACATTGTTAATTTCAATTTTTCACTAATTAGTACAGAAGAGGGAATAAAAAGAATTATTTTTTCCTCATATTTCTTGTAGACAAAAATATAAAAATAAATACAAAATTGTGACTAAATGCTTGTTCGTGGTTTTGAAGCACGATAATAATTAAGAAAAACATATTCAAAGTTTTTTTGTCTGAATTAATTTGCTCCTTTATGTAAAGTGTAATTATATTTGTACCACAGTTTTTGTTTGTTATCCCACATTTAACGGTAATGAAAGTTCTTAATTTTTACTCATTATATCATATATGTCACCAACTTTTTTATCGCATTATTATCTCTTACCTTCATTTAATTCACACATCAGTCCTTATTGACAATTTCTATCCAAATATGTTGTTAATGTATTTTGAATTGAATGATAAATATTTTGTCGAACGGTTGAATTTATGCAATTTACTTTATAAAATGATCCTTTACATTGGAAAGTTACTAAGGGCATGTTTTCTTCAGCTAACGAAAATTATTAAAGTTTAAATTAAAATCAATAATTAATTTTAACTGCATATTTAATGAAATTTACAACTTTTAACCACAAGTTTCATTAACTTTTATTAAAATTTACTAAAAATCTAATTTCAATCTAAATCAAATAAGGCTAACGGTTAGTCATTTGACTATTCGTATTTTAAAGTTTCGTAATTTTCAAAAATAACCCAACTTTATGATAATTTCTAAAATACTCCTCTTGGATTTAAAATTCTCAAAAACCTCCTTTAGGGTTTGTATTCAATAACGGATTCACCTTGTTAGCCAAAAATATTTTTTTTCCCCTAATTTGCCATTCGGTATTTATGATATAATTCGAAAATAATAATATTTTCCTATTCGGGGATTTTTGGATGACATGACAGATAAGATTGAGGCGGGGCAGGTGGATTAAAAATCTAGGTAACTTTATTTATTAAATTTTAATTTATTTTTTAAAATATAATTTAAATTTAAAAATATACATAAAAATAAAATAAGAAAGAGGGGATGCAAGGTAGTATGGGGGCGTGACATTTTGCTATCCCTAAACAAAAATACTATGTTAAATCTAAAATGTTCTTACTATAATACAAAAAATTTAAAAATGGTGTGGAATAAAAGTCAGTGCTTGTTTGTATCCCATTTTGAAAGAAGAAATAGAGTTTTGAATAATATTTTTTAATGTGCAGTTGAAAAGTAAAGTAATTTTATTGGTTTGTGTGTAAAATATTTTATTACGTGAATATGTTGTGGAGATTGTTTACTGTAGCAAACAATATTTGATAAAATAGATGACAAACAGGGGCTCAATAATATTACTTTTTTTCTTTTTCCTTTTCCTTTTTCTATTTAAAATTTTAGATTGATCTTATTGCTTTCTAAGAAAACTAGAAATGTTAATTTTGACAAATGTACATTTTTATTTTATATTTCGCATAAGAAAAAGGGGCAAAATGGAAAAATTATGCTAATAGAGAAGGCTTATGTAATTTTAAAAACCAGAGGGCTTGTCTTTGAAATTTTCATAAACCTCAAGGGAGGTTTATGAAATTTACCCTAAAATTACACTAGCCTTTTTTAAAATTATAGGGTTAATTTGAAACTAAGTTCAAAGTTTGAGGTCCAAAATTAAAAAGTATTATCTTATCAATTGACTAACATACCCTCGTAGGGTCCGTTCAGCTACAAGTCAAAAATCAAAATTAGAAAACTTCCAATTCCAAGACATCTCTGTCACACATTCAGGTGAGGTAAGCCTTCAAATTCCCTTTGCAAAAATGACTTCGTCTTCAAATATATTGAATCTGCATCAATTTCCTTCATCTCCTTTACTCTTCACTCCCTCCAAATTCTCCAAAGCCAAAGGTAATTCATTTTTGTTTGATATTTCCATTCAAATTCTCGATTTCTTTCTCTGATTTATTTATTTATTCTCAATTTTTAGGTGCACATTTTGTGACAAGAAAAATTGTTCTGAAACTGAGCTGTAACTGTAATCGTGATCTAGAAAGAGAGATCCACAACGAGATGTCGGGCAGAACGCCGGAAATGATTTACGAGCGCCGCCCAGTTTTAATTGCAACTTTGGCTTGCATATTACTGTTGGGAGATGCTCCCCCAAAAGCCCTCGCTTCCGCTTCCTCTTCAGCATTCGTGCAAAATGTCATCTACTCGAACAAGATCGCTATTTTCTCCAAATCTTATTGCTCGTAAGTCTGACATCTCTGATTTGTGATTATGCTAAAGACTTCTAAGTTCAAGGGACAAATTTATAGGAATTGTTAGTTTGAGAAGTTTTTATACGAGTTTACAATTGGTAGATAATATAAACTTGTTTTTACATTTGTTGATCCTTTTAAATGTTCAAGACCTCAGAGAAAGCAGAAGCAATGTTTTGCCATTTGAGCTTGTATCCATTTGTGCTGCGACATGATTGCGTAGAATTTTTAGTTTTGTGTATTAATCTTTGAAATTAACAATTACTTATCAACAATAACAAATACGAATTATCTATTGATAATGAAATCAATATCTTTAATTGTAGCATTGGTAAACATTAAAAATCACACCTCTCACACAGCATTTAAGCCAATCCATATATTGCTTTTGATTTCATTTACCACAATGGCATCTGCATAAAAATATCCAGAGACGAAGATCACAATTGATGAATTCACCCTTTTTAAGTTTAATGAGCTAATTGAAACATTATGAGCAATGTGAACCCATGAGACTCATTCATTAATAAAATAAGTCTAGTCCATCCTATTATAGCCCTTATATAATACATTATATGTAAATTATTCAACATTATAGTTTTCCATAACGTATTTTAATTATATGTGTTGAGTGTCTCACTTAAAAAAGACAATCATACAATAGATATTCACTCAACTGTAAGATTTATATCAACATGAATAAGATATGATAGTATAGCAATACTAAGCCCCTATTTGATGGACATTAGTGAGAGAAAAGTGATGTTTTGAATAGTAATTTTTTGAAGAATGTGTGGCTGAAAAATAAGGAAAAAATTTGAGTTTACGTGCAAAATATTTTATTGTGTGAATAGATGATTGAAGATAAGTATGAGAATTAAAAAGTTTTGTTTTAAAATGAAACATGGGCTAACTATGAACAATGTTGCATCTACAGTACCCATATTACCCATACTAATTATCAATAATAGTCATGAGTTATCTTGAGGATAACAATAATAGTCACATTTCGGTCATTGTCGCTTTACACTTGATCTTGCATAGACATGTTTATTTAGCCCTAATGTGAGCCCCATTTTTTAAGACTCATTATTAGGGACTCATTTTCAGCCACACATAAAAATAATTTTGCATGTAAATCAAAAGCTTTTTCCTCCTTTTTAACCAAAATATTCTAAAAAAATTACTTTTTTTGAGCAACTATTCTCAAAAAATGGGGCTCAAACAAGGCTTGATATGTGACTTTTGACAAGAGACATCTAGTTATTAGTCTCGATGTATATATTCTTGTAGAATCCCCACGAAGATTGTCGCCATGCTTGTGAATCTCTCAGCCCCTAGTTGTGGATGATATTTGTATCACGTGGATACGGTATTGTTCATGATTAGTCTCGGCTATGTTTTTGAGATTCTTGTTGTTTTTTGATTGTGTAAATGTTTGTTGTATGATTTTACTATCCGAGTAGGAGACTATTGGAATATTTTTGAACTAGTATAATCATATTAGATTTACTCATTTTATATTAAAGCCTGTTTGAAAAATTACATTATAGTGATACTCTACATGCATGGTATTGGAATTTGGGCAATGGGATGGACACGTATTACTAACTGGCTTGAGTTTCATAGACTCTCTCTAGTAATGCACTGGTTGGCCCCTTAGACCAACATACACCTCTCACACGTTTAATTGAGGCTTGACACCAGCGTAATGCTTATGACCTTTGAGCCCACATATTTGCATCTTTTAACACCATAATTTGGCTCAAATTTAAAGAACACAAGGCATTTTAGGGCAATTAATGGCAGCAGCATGCTGTGCAATTTTGTTGGAGTTGAGAGGGGATAGAGAGAGAGTTTATCTCCCTCTATTAATCAATTTTTGTCCTCGTTGTTGCAACGAATGCGGTATATGGGTGGAACATCTTCGACACCATATTTGAAGGTAAATATAATTGAGTTTTATATGCAGCTCATCATCGATAAATTTCAACGTAAATGGCTTCATGCATGGGCACCATTAGTTTGAATTGGTTTAAAATTACAAGGCTGAACATGGGCATGTTTAAATAAATTCTAAGCTGAAAATAGTGATCTGAGGGATATGATTATAGGGCTATGAATTTAGTTTTCAACTTGGTTTCAGTTTTTTTTTTTGGTTTTCTGGAAACACAAGAAAGTGATTTGGTTCCGAGAAAAGACCTGAATCGAACAAAAAGGTGCACTGATTTGGGTACCATTGGTTTGTTATGTTTGTGTTTTGGGACTTTCTTCCTTGTTCTAAGAAAAACATTCACATGCCAATATTTTACCCCTTCCCAGCCAGATATAAATTAGAAAACTGATAAGTAATAATTCTCGCTCACAATGAGAATATCCATTTACCATTAAACAAATTCACTGTTACCAGATATCACAAATTCAAACACTAATAAAACCTTAAGATGTTTAATATATCTAGGAGAGGAGAGAGTACAGTAATGAGACATGATGTAGAGGGAGGGAGGGAGGGGAGAGAATGTGGGCTCTAGATTATCTGAAGACATGGTTAGAATGAATTTTTATGTAATGATAATAATTTCAACTCTAATACAATCAATTTATAATACAAGGTTGGAAGAAAAAAGGAAAAAATATTATGCCTAGTAAGGAAAACAAATAAACTGCCAATTATCCTAAAATACAAGTTTTCTAATTAATCACAATTTCCATCTATGATATTCTTCCATACTTGGACATTTTCTACACTCCCCCTCAAGTTGACCTATAGATGTTGACCAAGTTCATCCGATTTTGATACTTGGACATCACATAATGGTACCTCAAGACACGTAGGGAGGTTGCATAGGCTGGATCATCTTCATCCGGTTTTGTTGTAGTACCAGTCACATACCCAAGACGCCCACGACCACGGATAACCATAAGAGCAGATCGGGACCACTGGAGAAAATTCTTACCATTCAGTCTGGTGGTAGTAATCTGAAGGGAAGTGTTTTCAGAGAGGGTAGTCACAGGAAGGTAATTGGATGTAATTGGTGCACTTGTAGAGATAGGTTCAGATGATGCTGTGGAGTTCCCTGAATCCCCATCTCTGCGTGCACCTGTCATGGTTAATTTTTCCAATCCACCTGCTCAAGTAACCCAAGGCTCTGATACCATGAAACTGGGGAGATAGAGGAATGAAGAGACCACAAAAAAGAGTGAATTGATTTTCTTCAATTAGCTTCAGCCGAATACAACCTTTTTATAGGACTAGAATACCTACCAAAACAGAATATATGCTAAATCTACAAACAAGGAAACAATATATATATTTACTATAACTAAACCATTACATATGGTAATAAATAAATCATCAAATCTGCACTAATATTTCGTGATCTTCAACACTTACTGAGAAAGCTATGTTAGGTCTAGTGTGCGAAAGATAGATTAACTTCCCAACCAGTCTTTGATATCTGTCTATTTCTACTGAGTTCCCTGTGTTCTTTGATAATTTTCCTGCCTGAATAGGTGTGTCACTTGGTTTGCATGCCAGTTTTGATTAAAAGGTCGAGAATGTATTTCTTTTGGGAAACACTAACACCCTTCTTTGATCTTGCAACCTCCATTCCTAAAAAGTATCGCATTTGTCTTGGGTCTTTTACCTCAAATTCAGTGGCTAAACCCCTCTTTAGTCTTTCCATTTCAGTTATGTTATCCTCTGTTGGGATTATATCATCCACGTATACAATTAGGATAGTCTTTGTCCCATCTCTGGATTGTTGGAAGAATATTATGTGATCTGACTGCCCTTACTGGTATCATCGACTTTTTAATACCTTTGCAAATCTATCGAACCATGCTCTAGGTGATTGTTTGAGCCTATATAGAGATTTCTTCAGTTTACACACTTGACTTTCCTTATTCTTGTTGTTGAAGCTTGGTGGTGCTGTCATATAAATTTCTTCTTCTAGTTCCCCATTAAGAGAAGCATTCTTAATGTCTAGTTGTTGAAGTGGTCAGTCTAAATTTACTGCTAATGACAAGAGAACTTGAACTGTATTAAGTTTTGCCATGGGTGCGAATGTTTCAGTGTAGTCGATGCCATAGGTTTGAGTGTATCATTTGGCAACTATATGTGCTTTATAGCGTTCTACTGTCCCATCTACCTTGTACTTTAGACCCATTTGCAGCCTTCAAGTTTCTTTCCTTTAGGTAGGTCTACCACTTCCTAAGTTTCATTTTTCTCCAAGGCATTCATTTCCTCCATTACTGCTTCTCTCCATTTGGGTGATTTCAAGGCCTCTTGAATATTTAGTGGGATTTCTGTTTTATTAAGGTTAGCAGTAAAAGTACAGAACTTTGTAGATAGAACATTATAAGATATGAATTTCGAGCTGGGATGGAGAGTACATGATCGAGTTTGTTTTCTGATAGCAATGGGTATTCAAATCATGATATTCGTTGGATGGATTCTCCTCAAGTCCTATCACCGGTTCCAACTCTTTTGGTACCTCAGATATAAGAGTTTCCTTATACTTTGATTTTGGCTTCCTTGAGTAAACCAATACCTCTTTGTCACTATTTTTTTGACATCTCCTCCTGAATTCAAGTTTCCTCTTGTATATGGCACATTAGGAGGTAGATTGACGGGTTCAATATGTACTAGTTCGGATGGGAAAAGGTCAACGCTTAAGAATTCCCGATTTGAGAACCGATCATCTTCACTTATATACTCCCCTGGAATATGAGGTTTATTGTAGTAAGGTGTGTTCTCAAAGAAGGTTATGTCGAGGCTGACGTAGATTTTTTTGTGGACGGGTCATAGCACCTATAGCCTTTTTGTGTAGTGAATATCCAAAGAACACACATTTGATTGCACGTGTTTATTTCAAAGATGGAAGTGGATATGTACAAAAGCAATACTTCCAAATACTTCGTAGATTGGAAGTGAGGTGGGAAGTTAGAAAGTGGTTTTGGAGTCTTTGTATAGGTGAGTCGAAAGAGAG